AACTCCATATCCCCGTTCAACTCAGTATCTCGGAGCCAAACTACAAAAAATGGAGTCGACTCTTTCGTCTCCTTGTTCTTCGATTTAATCTCATGGGATATCTTGACGGCACTATCGTCGCCAAATCGGCCAACGATGCTGAGTGGTTCCAATTCGACGCCCTACTTCAAGGATGGATCTTGTCTACCGTCTCCGATGAAGTCTCCGATCTCGTCCTCGCAAACAGCCCTACAGCCGCGGCACTCTGGAAAGCGATCTACAAATTGTTTCATGACAACAAGCACGCCCGGGCGATGCAATTGGAGAACCGGTTTCGCACCACCGTCAAAGGAACCATAACAATAAATGAGTATTGTCACACTCTCAGGAACCTAGCCGACTATCTCGACGACGTAGATGCTCCGGTGACCGAACACGCCCTCGTCCTACAAGTGCTTCAAGGATTGCCACATGACATCCGGGGCCAAGTTCACTTTTTGCAGTATCAGAACCCGTTTCCGACGTTCCTGGAAGTCCGATCGGCTCTCCTCTTGGTCGAACAACAGCAGGCCGACGCCCTCCCCAACGCCGCACAGTCCACCGCCCTTCTCAGCTTCAGCGGCGGCAGCGGCAGCAACATGGCGGGCGGGGGTCAGTCGCGGCCAGGCAGCAGCGGGCAGAACTCCAGGCGTGGCAGTTTCGGCGGATCAAATCGGGGCAATTCTGGTGGCTACTGCGGGCGTGGCCGTGGATGTGGACGAGGCAGCTCGAATCAACGACAACCCGGCCCAAATACCTGGCAGTTCCCCACTCCCTCACCCGGCCTTCTAGGCCCACGACCCTACTCCCCCTACCCGGCCCAGGCCCACGTGGCCCATTACCCGAACCCAGCCCAATACCCTACCCCGCCACATACCCAGTACCAAACATCCAACCCGTACTACCCAACCTAGTACCCAAACCCGAACCCCCTACCCCCACCCCTTTATCCGCCAACCCCCACCCCCACCTCACCCTACCCGCAACACTACAACCACCCCCCC